TTGTCGTGCAGCGCACGTAGAGCGGTAGGTTTGAATGCGTTCTGAGATGCAGGGTTTGCATTGCTTTGACGTCCCAGACGTAGGCTCAGGTGCGGCAACTCTCGCCATTGAAGTATTTAGAAATTCGAGCTGTAAGACCCTAAACCATCCGAAGGCCCAAAAACCAAGGCCACGAATCCTAAATCCTGAGATAATCCCCACGCAGCACCCAAACATGTGGACCTGTAAACTACACAGGCCGGACCTTCGACTGTCGCGCTGGCAGCTGAAGGCCAGGTCTTTGGGCTTAGGGGATGTAGGGTTTAGGAACGGTTTATGGGTTTAGCAGTAAGAAGATAACCCCAAATGATGGAGAATCATATGGAAAAGAATGTGGGAAATGACAAGGAAACTTTGGATTCATAGGGTTTCATGTGGGGCAGTAAGGGCAGGTTTTCGTCAGGACCCCACAAGGAACCCAGGCCCTCAACCCTACCACGTGATAGTGGTAGAGACTTAGGTTAGGATTAGATTTAGGGGTATGTGGTCTTGGTCTCTTTCAAGGGCAGAACGGGCCTTGTGTATGCAGGATGGGGATATTTGGGGTTCAGGGTTTAGATGATTTTTGTTCATTGTTTTTTAGTGCCATTGGGGCTATATCATATAGGGAGTACACTGATCTTGAGCATTTGGGGTCCTCAAGATCATGGACCGCATTTTCTGGGTTAATGCATCACAACATGAATGGTGCGCATGATGTAGCTTCCTTTTGTTACAGTGTCGTTTCATGGGGAGATGCCAAAATGCTCCCCAAAAGGGATGACTATGAAATTGGATAAAGCTTTTGGCTCATGCTGCTCCTGCGCAGGACCTAGGCACCAAGGGTCGCCTTGTGGCTGCTATTTCCAGGATTCATTGGGCTCATGGTATTGCAGGATCTCTACCAACCGCATCCCAACAGTTGTTGGGGTTCCCGGGCAACCATCGTTAGCAGAAGTGTGCAGTGGGTAATGTGCAATGTGGCATCAGCTACCTAACTACTTTCCAGCTTTTGTTTGTGTACAAAGCCTACAGGTACATCAATCCGCAATGCAAGGGCCTTTGCATGCAGGAACAGTGGCGATCGTGTGATCCCCTTGCCTTGTGCTATCACTACACGCACCTGCCCCGAGATCTGAGACTCTCTAAGCTCTGCGAAGGCAAGCACGGCGCTGGCAAGACCAAGGCCAAGGGGTGCCCAAGCAGTCTGTAGTTTTTTAGAGATTGGGTTGGGGACTGAAGCATGGAATGCTAAGCAGATCTGGGCATTGGGGGGTAGTTGCAGACCCTTCTTCAAGGGTTTGTTTTTGCGTTGGAATGAATCCAAACAGGAGGCCCAGCCCGAAGCTAATTCCCAATGTTGCAGGAAAACTGCAAGACCATTCAGCCCGCGCCTTCAACCCTCATCCTCCAAACGTGCCCAGAAGGTCCCATAGTGCCTGAGCACTCCATAGGAACCCTTCACCCACAATCAGGGTTTAGGGTTTAGGGTTTAGGGACCGTGATTCCTACTTCCTTCACCCTACTGACCACCAGCTTCCTGTCCCCCCCTTGAAAGTTCCATAAAGTCCCTGACCAGGCTCTGTCCGTGGCGCGCAAGATTGGAGCTTGGCCCTTGGAATGCTTCAACCCAGAAGCTTGTGAAAAATGTCTAACTTGTGTACTTCCGCAAGACCTCCGAATTCCCTCTTGCTTGCCGGGTATTTCGGGCTTCCCGGATTATCTGCGATAGGAAGGATTGCCGAACTTCCCATTATGAGCAGTATGTCATTCCGTTTAAAGACTACCGCAGCTTGTGAATAGCAGGGGCGTGTTGAGTGGTCATGGTATGGGACTTCATGCGGCCTCGATTGCGGGCCGCCTTTGATTGCCAACGATATTGTGGCATGAAAGTCCTTCTTGACCTGAACCTCCCAGGCCCTAACCCCTAGCCACCTCATACTTCCCAGGCCCTGAGCCTAAAGCCGAGGCCACCCGCAAGGAGGTTGAGCGCCTGAAGATGGATCGGGCCGAGCTTCTAGCAAAGCTGAACTCCCAGCAGCAGGCAGCCCCGCGTCGCCCTGCATAGGCTGATCTTTAATGTTGCAGGGTCAGTTTTGGAGTTTTTGGGGGGAGAATAAGGAATGAAGTGGCGCACAGAAGTGGGTAGGCATTTCTCGGCTGCATGGTTCCATCTCATGTATGTATGTTTATTCTTTTGCCCGTAGTCTGTCTGCAAAAGGTCTGGAGGATTGGGGCAACAAGGATATAGAGTCAAGCCACCATGTGATGGTCAAAAGGCGCCGCTGTGCCACAGGCCCTTGACAAGGTCAACTTCGAGATCAAGCAGCATTCCGAGAATGTTCAGGGCTCAGCGTAACCATGGCCTTGTAGTGGTGCCACAGACCCTAAAGGTCCCAGTACTACCCTTATGCTAAATGCCTAGGTTCCCCCGTTAAGTAGCCTAGCATGCTTAAATATCCTTGAGACCAGGGTCCCATGTGAGGGTGTATATATGTACGTATATATATATATATACATATCACATCCTACAGACGTATATAAGGAAAAGTCGGGTCCAACCCGACACCCTACTTAGTTCACCGTAAGTATCGCGAAAAACCCTAAACACCTTCTACTAACACCGTTTAGCACGTCTGAGGTCGCTCAGCTGAAGGAGCGCAGCCAGAATCTCGAGGAGATGATGGCGAACATGGACCAGGCCATGTGATTTGGGACGGAGGGGTTTAGGTATGGCTGGCCAGGCCATGGGACTGCTGACTGCATCGTTGCAGTCAATTATTGCGCTCTTATTCTTTCTGTCGTTGCTTGGGGTTTGGGGGCTTATGGGGTTTACACTTTGCAGCTTGGGACTTGGGAATTGGAGCGTAATCTGGACTTAGAGCGACAGGTTCAGGGATGTAAGAAAGGTCGTTGGGCTTGTTCATGAGGTTGTTCTGCCGGTGTTTGAGAGGGTCGGAGCAGGTGAGAGTCCACACTGGACATTAGGCAAGGCACATCAACGTGGAGAGGCTGGGTGTTGCTATGGATCCCGCACTTCGGAAGTGAAACCACCTTCTAAAGGCCCGGCAAGGCCACACGGATTGATAAGCTCAAATTCGGATCCCCTCCACCCAGAACCCTTAATCAATCATTGCTTCAACTTAAGGTACTGCCTTCAACACCTTGCCAATGTCGTTAGCAAGGTGATCTGAGGAGTATCCAAATTCTTGGAAGCCCAGAGGCCGATGCGCTTCAAGTCCAGAAGGCCACCCAGGAGTCTGAGCGCATCCAGTCCTTCTTCGCCTCCATGAACAAGGCGGGTCCATTGCTAGGGTCAGCAAAAGGTCATAAATACTGTGCTGCAGTACACTTTGTTTGAAGTGTCCGTGGAAAGAACGGACGCTGGTTGTACGTCGTGATTTGAGGTGCAGGTGTTGTTGTGGTTTCATTCTCAACATTCTGTTTGCCGATGCTCTTGTTCGTAAGCTATAAGCTGAGGCCTCGTATTGCTTGTATGGTGCTTAAAGAAGTTGTCTCAGGAGATCGAGAAGGCTAAGGACAAGAAGGCAGACCTCGATGCTCGTGTGGGAGACCTGGGCGCAGTATGTTGCCGGCGCTGTAGTGATGGTCATAGTTGCGGACATGGCTTAAAGTCATGACATGTGAAAAAGCAGAACTACCAGGAAGGAGAAGAAGATCCTGTGCTGCATAAGGCATGGTGATGGCGTTTCCCATATTTTAGCTGGATGCTTTTCAGTGTGCATGGCCTTTTCGTGCCAAACCAAAGTCTAAGCAAGAGCACGTTGTGATCTTCAGGTCATTCAGGTCAGGTCATCACATGCAATCTTCCGTTCCCAGTGAACCGAAGTTATTGTGGGATGCCAAGATCGCGCAGCTGAACGTTCAGAAGTACAAGGAAGAGAAGCGCGCGAAGAACCAGGCGAATCATGAGGGATTTGCCTGCGTTTTTGGCTAGGACTTTGCTAGTAAAAAGGCAAACTGCCTCGCTTGGGTTTCAGAGGGATCTTTTTGAACCTGGCTGGAGTGACTGCTAAAAGGACCCGGCGATGACCTATTATTGATAGTATGGACCCTGCATATACTCGCTGGGCTGCCATAGTTCCATATTAACTCTCATGGTGCGAACCCTTCCAAGAATCCCTTGAAGTCACACGCTCCCTTTGATCATTCCCAACTCCTTGTGATGCGTCGTCTTCTCCCTGGGTCCCTGGAAGCTCCAGAATCCTTACAGACATCATCAGACATCACTTCTGAACCCCAAGCCCAGACCTTGGATCCTGGAGCCAAAGCGGGCGTCTTGCCGCGAATTTATCTTTGCAACACCATGGGAAAGCATAAACATACTGTGATTTACAGTACTTTCAGGGGGAGCGTGGCTTTATGCTGGGTCGCATTTTTTTTTGAAAAACCGCGACCCAGGTAAGGACGTCTCAGAAAGGTGCGTTGCCGTTTTTCTTTAGCCTTCGTCGCAAGAGGTCGGAACGCCACAAACCCCAACCAGCAAAACCTGAGTCTGAAAAGCGCAGGCACGACTTGAGCGGGTTTAGGATTTAGGGTCTTGATCTTTACAGGTTTGGGCATGGATGCTCCCCTCATCAAAACCGGAACGGAATTATGGTTTGCGCATAGGTGCTCTGGTCACCACATGCTCGTGGAACGCTTAAGGAATTCTGGTTTGGGCATGGATGCTCGGTTTAAGTTATCGCGTTCATCAACACATGAACGGAATTATGGTTTGGGAATGGATGCTCTCTTTAAATCATTGTATTCACCAAAACATGAGCGGAATTATGGTTTGGGCATGGACGCTCTGGTCGCCGTATGCTCTTGTAACACGAACGGAATTATGGTTTGGGCTCTGGTTATCCCACTCATCAAATCATGAACGGAATTATGGTGTGGGCATGGATGCTCTGGTTATCGCACTCATTAAATGATGAAGGGAATTTCGGCTTTGGCAAGAATGCTCTGGTCAACGTATGGTCTTGGAACACGAACGGAATTATGGTGTGGGCATGGATGTTCTGGTTATCGCATTCATCAAAACATGAACGGAATTATGGTTTGGCCTGCTGGGCATGCAATCGCGTGAGCTGCGCGCCACTTTTGGGCCGACAAAAAACCAGAAAATGCTGGCCTGCGCAGCATTTCTGACACGCCTGTTTGTGCGGCGAGACGGTTGTCGGAGGGCTAAACCCTAAACAGTTAACCCGAAGCTGACCCCTAAACCCTAGACCCTAAACCCTTTAACCCAAAGCCCTAAACTATTTGCTGACCCTTACAAGGGAAAAAATCCCCATGTAATCCCTATATCATATATTCCCATGTTCCCTTCTAAGTTACTGACAGGAGCAGGAGGCCCGCTCTGTCGCCATGGAGGTGGAGCAGGCAACCTCTGAGCTCCAGAGTGTGAAGCAGGCTGGGGCTGTGCAGAATGTGGGGTTTAGGGTTTAGGATGTAGGATTTAGGGTGTAGGGTTGAAGGGTTTGAGGGGTTTAGGATTTAAGGTAGTTTAGGGTTTAGGATTTAGGGTATAATGGGTTAAGGGTTTAGGGTTTATGGACCAGCATCACCTTGCTGGGGGTTACTAGGGAATATCTTGGGGTTATATGGGGATCATGGAAAAGAAAATGGAGACTACTACATTGGAATAGGGTATATTTTGGGGGTTAGTAGGGAATAGGAATACAGGGATCCTTTGGGGATGATGTTCCCTTATTCCCTGCGAATGACCAGTAAATCATTGCTGCCTTCTGCTTATAAATATGCCAACATGATGAGTGTAGCAGGCAGGGGCCAGTCGTGAACCTTGCTGCTAGTCGCCATGGTAGAAATATGAGGCCCGGGCGGCGCGGGGCATGTCTGTTGACTTGTTAGTTGCGTTTTCGGATTTTGTTGAAGAATTCGTGCTGAGCAGCCATGGGGCTACAACCTTGAAGTCAGCGAATTGTTTGCAGTGATGGTAGGAACAGGAAGCATTTCACTGTTGGCCTTGTCGCTGGCAGGATCAGATGGCCAGTAGAGCCTTCCAACAGGAGAAGCAATGACAGTGTAGCGGTCATCATGCCGCTTTTTACGTAAGCAATCCTGTAGTACCTTTGGCAAATTCTGGATTCAGCCCCAGTGGTTCAAAATATCCTCCATCGACCGAAGGTATACGCATAGCCCATGATCCCTACTCCCTAAGCCCTATGTACAGCAATGAGTGTAGTAGTATAACAAAATCAACAAGTGTAGCAACAATGTCAGTACAAATACTAGCCATAGTGGTACCTGGCAGAGTTGTCACCCTAAACCTTAAACCCCAAGCTACCCATATCCAGTGGGACCCCCAAAAAGGTGCTCTAATTTTGTGAAATTCCCATAGAACCCTATATAACCCTGTATGACCCCCAGTACGGTACCCCTAACTTTGAAATCCCCATATCCAGTGGGAGAGTTGCCGCAGGAGATCTCTCAGCTGAACGGCCAGATCAAGCAGCAGCAGGCCAAGGCGTGCCCCGCGCTGCTTGCGCTGCTTGCGCTGCTTGGGGGGTGTAGTGTAGTGGTCATAATTCAAGGGTGAGTTTCCCAAAATTTGGGGTACCATTTTGGGGGTCCTTGTAATAGGGAATATACGATCTTTGTGTCTATATTGGGGTCCCCTATTTTGGGAAACTACCAAAGGAAGTTTTCGGGTGAAACTTTTCAGGAGGTTTTCAGGAGGTTTACAATTTGGGATTCAGGCTTGGGCTTTGCTCTCGACGAAACTTTTGCCTTACTTTCAGGCAGACTTGAGTTGACGCGCAGTCACACAGACGTTTTGCAGCCTCCTTCTCTGCACCAATCATCACACCCCCAGGACCCATGTAGACGCATAGGCTGCTTGTGCTTATACCGGCCGTACACAATCTGCAAGCTTCAGGCCCCATGCCCAGCAAAGAGCCCCGGGGTTCAGATCTCCACCACCTAGGCCATGCGTCTTCTTCATGGCAAGAATCCCAAAGCCTAAGGCATCTCGGGCGCTTGTATGTCCTTGTCTGACAGGAAGACAAAGTGCAGACCGAGCTGCAGAAGGAGCAGGCCCGGTATCAGCAGGACGGGGCAAACGGAAACTCAAGACCTGGCATGAGATCGCTGAAATATTCAACGACATGAGGCAGAAGCCCAACTTTCTCAAATGCTTTAAGCCTGCCCCAGCTCGAGACCCCGTGCTGAAGGCAAGCCTGAGCTCTGGTACGCTGCATCATAGGTATGGTTGTAGAATCCTCAGACAATCAAGGGTAGTTGTTTTGGGCCTTCGAGCTTTTCGCCGCCG